GAGTTTCTTTATTTTGAAGTCCTCTAAATTTTATTCCTTCCAGGGAACTATTTTTGCATTTCATTTGGCTAATAGTAAGCTTCAAAGGAATGCTTTATTGCACTTTCTCTGGATAACGTCATCCACTGACATGAAGTTGAAAGTATGTGTTGTGCCATATCCCTTCATGACGTAGGCGATCATGGCTGTCCACTTCTCTCTAACCCTTGTAGCTCTCAATATGTTTTGTCCCTCTGCCTCTTCATTCAGGCCACGCTCTGTCATCCACTTGCTCAAGCCCGCCAGGCATTTCATGCGTTGCTTTCCCTTCTCTCCTTCCCTCTATTCGACCTGTCAGTATCAGATTCTCCAGGCACCCCCTTTCTTTATTACGTATCCCAAACATTTCAGCTGTCTCTTCTTGAGGTTAAGTATAAGCTTCCTCCTTGTTTGCATCCTCATCAGAACCTCATCGTTGCTCACACTTTCGGTTCATGATATCCTTAGCATACTACCACCATCTCGTGTCTCTTCTTCATCTTTGACGGGACCGTTTAACATTCGCTACCGTAAAATAAGACAGAAGTCACGTGGCGGCTCAGTACTTTTTTCTTCGTTACTAAAATTGTTTCAGTTGCTGGATCTGCTGCTAGGAAAACTATTTCTGTATTTCTCACTACACAGTTTCTCTTGTCCTTGCATTGAGCAATACTGTTACATTTGGTCTGTTGCTTCTTCTACGCATTTAGATATTATTATAATCCAAATAAGTATATGCAATGTTATCGGTTCTAACCTGACATCTCGTCTTTTGTATAGATTTTTTATGTTCATTGTTTTTATGAGATTTTACTTTTGGTAACTTGGCCTGACAATTTTAAACGCGGTAGAAATTTGGCCGCCATGTCTCTTAAGTTTACAGATAAAATTTCTTGATATCACCACAAAGTCTATGCTAACAGTTCTTTTTCTCGTACGTATTGTTTGTGGAACTCTCATCCGGCATTTCGCTTTGCATTCAACCATGATTTTCAAATATTTATATTATGTGAATCGCTATCTTAATTTTAACTCCTTTATTCGCAATAACGTTTTCTCCCATATTTCTTTAAATGCAGAAACATCTTTGCATCGAGCTCGCTTTAGTAGCTTGCTTGGGGTGAAATGATGAAAAATAAAACAAATATCGTCAATAATTCAGTTTTAAAAAATAATGGAAATATCTAAACTAATTTGTTTTTCAATTTCCAAGAAATCCCTATTCACATTCAAATGAAAATGAAATGGATTTCTCAGGCAGGCTATGATTCTTTTTTTAATTTGTGTTATAAACCGTCAGGGTGAATATTTTCGTTTGGATTAAAAGACGGAATAAACGAACCCCAATAAATAAATCGAAATTTTCTACAATTTTCGGTGTCACGACAAAGAAAGCTTATGCATATAGTGTGGGTTGTTTTAAAACGTAGCAGGTACCAATTACCTTAAGAGCCAACACTGAAAAGTGTTTATTACGAATGTAGTAGTAATGTTTTAGAATGCATTTGACTAATATATAATGCCATTTTCCATTTTTATCTCTGGCTATCTGCCTTATGTTGATAGATAGATAGATAGATAGATAGATAGATAGATAGATAGATAGATAGATAGATAGATATTATGGGCGAATGAAACAAAAATTAACAAACGTCATTGAATCTTCAAAAAACGGGAATAATAAAAGAACATTTTTTTATTGATTTACTAGTGAAATGACAAGTACTATTCTTAAAAGAGTGCTCAATACACAGTAGAGCAAATATAATTATTTATTCGAAAATTATAACATAAATATGTTATAAAATCACTACAAAATAGCAATTTTGTTTCAACACTGCTGGTGATGGTATTAAATCCCCATCACATGGTAAGACACCAGAAGTGTTGAAACACAAAGGCTATTTTGTAGTGATTTTATAGTATATTTCTGTTATAATTTTCGAATAAATAATATATATATATATATATATATATATATATACACACACACACACACACACACACACACACACACACACACACACATATATATATATATATATATATATATATATATATATATGTGTGTGTGTAAAGCACACACATACAAATACACACACATGTATATATATGTAGAAAGAGAGTTAGGGAAAGGAGGGAGAGATTAGTATGTTATGGCTAAAAAATTATTCAATAAAGTATTTTTTTTCTTTTTAATGTGACATTATCTGCATGTTAGAAAACTGTCCTGGGGAGATTTATAGTTCGTTTGAATTTAGCTTTAGAAATGTAAATTACAATTAAAAACACGCATCATGTGTATTTTAATCATTTTCTGTGCAATTACATTCAATTCAAGTTGGCAAATCTAAGAAAAATTTACTGTTGAAGAATCATGCATTGAATCTAACATAATGGCGGGAAATTTATATATTCATAAGTAAAAATGAAAACATGAATACAAAATGGTGGAGAAGAAAATAAAATTGATAATAAGAAAATAGACCGTCAAATTGAAATTTCAAAATTTCTTCGTATGAGGGGATCAACAATTCCAGTTTTAGTCGAAGCCACCAGTTTGATTGGAAAAGGTTCCGATAGACTTGTTAAACCGATTCCTGCTAGACCAAGCCTCAAAGAATTACTCAACAATGGAAGCTTGGTGTCAAGACAATGAAAAAAATCAACAACAATCAAAAAGCACAGCTCGGAAGGTAAAACTGATGTGAGAAATAAAGGAAAGCAGATGTGAGGTTTTAATATTAGATGAGATCAGAGAAACCCCAAAAGTCTCAACACGCAAATCCAAAAAGGTCAAGCCGAAATTTAAAATTAAATCACTAAATAAAATTCCCCCAATCCAAAAAATGCTAAAACAGAAACTATAGTTAAAGGCACAGAGAACAAGACTATTTCTATAGTCTTGTTCTCTGTGCCTTTAACTATAGTCGGTTCTAGAGTCAAAATAAAATATTCCAAACGAAAGTTCCGAAATCTTACAGGTAAATTGGAAAGATCCACCGTCTATTGAAATTTGGGAAAATATTAGGAGCCGCCCTAAGGAATATAGCCCTAATGTTGAATAGAACCAACGTGAAGAAGTAGGAATATTGGATAAACTTCTACAAGAATGGGAAAATATAGATATAAGGACAAATATTGCTAGACAAACTCTAGCACAATTCCAGAAAGGGAAATCCCTGGGAAATGACAAGGAGCCAAATTTCTGGCTCCATCATTTGTTATCAATCAATAAAAGCCTTGTATATTCTATCAATGAGTATTAATATTCCTAATGAAGTCCCAGAATTGATCATTGAAGTATGACATATCTAATGCTCAATACGAGTGAAACTGACGATGCGAAATGTATAGGCCAGTAACATATCTGCCCACCACGTATAAATTTATTATGCCTGTCTTGACGAACCGTACTTACTCTCGAAGCAAACAACATTCTTCCAATGGAACATAAGGAATTCAAGAGAGGTCTATATGGTTGCAAAGATCAAATACAAGTAAAGAAAATGATCCTAGAAAAATGCATGACAAGATGTAGAAATCTTATCGCGGAATGGATAGATTAACCTAATGCATTTGATAGTGTGCCACACTCTTTGACCATGAAGACACATGAAATGGACAAAGTCTCCTCGTGTCAGTAAATTTCCCTAAACAATGCATGGAACTGTAGAAAACCATATGACACCAAAATCACACAAGAGCCAGTGTCACGTTTTTTTCTCGTACTTTCTCCCAGCTCCATGTTTTCCAATCAATTTTGATCTTCAAAAATTTAAAAGCAACGTCAATCGTTATCTACTGTCTTCCTGATTACTCCTCTATTGTTATCGCTACTTAATAAGATTTTTTGTTTTCTAAGCCTTTCACACCAGTCAGCCCTTCTGTCTTAATGGCTTTACTCCTTTACATGAGATGAATTATAAAAAAGGAGACAAAACTTATGATGACCGACAAAGGATAGAATGTTGTTGAGAGCCATTATCGTCCAACGTATCGAAAAGAAGAATTAAGTTGTGCAAAGTAGTTTGTTGTTACAAGAATTATGAAATCCAAATAAAAAAGACGTTCTTAAGTAGATGGCAGTCGATTTATTGCAAGTTAAAATAACTTAAAGCCATAGCTTCTTTGGTTAATTTCGATACACAAAGTAAATGACGTCCGAACTGATACAATTCGAGTCAGATAAAGATTAAAAGATCCATTAAAACTGATTTTAAGAAGATTAAGCAACTCCAGCAAAAAAATAAATTAATGTTGACAGGTATTTCTAATGGAATATAATCTCGTGTGTGGCAGAGAATAACTGGACAAATTATCCCTTCAGTTATCATGTTAGGGATTGCAACATGGGAAAAAAAGTCTTTGCGTGTTGATAGAAGACACTGACTTCATATCGTTGTCTTTTTGCCGTATTTTGCAGCGTGTCTTCATTGTCTAAAAATAAAGATGGGAAAAATGGCAGAAAATCACGTTTTTTTTCTGGGTCGAAACGTTATAAGATATAATGTGATATCTACATGTATTTCAGATTGTTTTATGTGGTTAGTCGCTACAAGAAAAAAGACTGTGTGTATTTGTATTTGAATTATAAAGCGAGAAGATAAGTTAATATGTAACTACGTGCGAGATTTTGAGAAAAGAAAAGTATATTGTACTTTTATACCGATGAATAAGGAGGAAATGATGTGAAATAATCTCTTCCTGATTTGGCCTGTGTGATTCAGATTTTCTATAAATGTCTTTCAATACACATATCTGTGGGTTCATAAATGTTGTATTCTTTCTTTAGGATAGGCATCTCCTTTTAGTTTCAATTTTCTTTTGTATTCTTGACGAATATCTGCCTGTGACGTTGTAAGTTTTTTGTTTTTGTTCATGCAAATACGTATATCATTTTTATCGAATGAAAATTTAGAATGTTATGTGTGTGTTCAATTGTTTCAATGTACGTGTTCTGAAAAGATGAGGACTGGTTATTAGAAAAACGAAATAAGTCTCTGAATTAGAAGCTGAATAAAAGAAAAAGAATAAAGAAAAGGAAAAAGAATAAAGAAAAGGAAAAGAAACAATAAAAGAGAGAAGAGCAAGAAATAAAAAAATGAAACTTTAAAGAAGAAAGAAAAAAGAAAAAGAGAAGAAACAATCAAGAAAGAGAATAAATGAAGCAAATACAAAAAACGAATGGAAAGAAAGAAAGAAAGAAAGAAAGAAAGAAAGAAAGAAAGAAAAGTGGTGAGGACGAATGAAAGAGGAACACTAAATGAGTGTTGAAAAAAAGAAGAATGTTCGATAAATCTAAAGACAATGAAAAACATATTTAAGTAGAAATAAAGAAAAATGATGAATAAAACAAACGAAGGAAATTACAGAGAAGAGCTAAAAAATGTTCTGAACGATAAGTAAAAAATTATGGCAAAAGAGAATAAAAAATAGAAATATAAATTTAAAAAGGAAACCTTTTGAAAAAGGAATGAATAAAGACGAAAATCGAATAAACATTATATATGTTTAATCGAATAAACATTATATATATATATATATATATATATATATATATATATATATATATATATATATATATATATCCAGATGGATGGAAAAAATCGATTAACCAAATAAAGATGCAAGAAGCTGTCAGTACAAAGGCGGGATATTCAGAAAGGAAATTGAGAAGAAATGTCCAGCTTTATACAGATTTACAAAGAATATTAGGAAAATTTGAACGAAAAAAAACAAAAACTGAGAGATAAATCGAAAACGGGTACGAAAACTTCGTAAAAAATTAAAACAAATTAAACCTCTTGCAAAAGGAAAGACATTAAATAATAATAGAAACTGCTATAAAATAATTTCATACAGACATATTTTTTTTAAATGCAAATATATATGCAAAGAGAGAAGTTATCAAATTATAACGAAACAGAAAAAGAAATAATTAAAAAGATATAAAAATAGAAGTAAATGAAAATTTCAAATAAAAGAATTGAAAACTGTACATCAAAATAAAATATTCAGAAAAACTGAAAGTATGAATGCATTAGCAGACCACAAAAAAAGAAAATTACATAAATATAATTAAGTGAGAAGACAAATATAGCCGAATAAGAAATAATTTGATGAAGAGAATTCATAGATAATGCAAGTGAAAAAAATACTAAACAAATGCAAATAGAAATGAAGCAAGCATTCAAGGAACATATAATTAAAAGAGAAGCAGGATATTAACGTAAAATACAGTGAAATAAAAGGAGAAATAAGCAGGAGAAAGAAAGCAGATGAGACGAAATAAAGAATTGTAATGAAAGTTAAAGATGGACTTGATCTATATATATCATGAAATAGGAAAGGACCAAAACAATGAAGGAAAATTATGAAACGAAAAAGAAAATATAAAACGATAAAGAATAAGAATTTTAATATTAGCTGAAAATGTAAGCGAAAGAAGAGAATAAGAAAACGAATATCATCGGAAGAAGAGAATGAATGTAAAGGATTTGGCAAAAAGAATACAAATGTATGAAAAAACACATTCAAGACGGAAGGCAATGAAAGAAAAAAAGAGAAGGTAACCAGAAAACAATGGAGTGTGCGAGAAACTTGAAAATAGAAAAGAAAACGATCCCAGAATTTGAATAATCTTAAATGAATAAAAAATAAAAATGTTTAATGCAGAATCCAAAGACGAGAAGAAAAAGGATAAGTGATAAATTCTGAGGGAAATCTCGAGGAAAACTTCTAGTTTCATATCATCATATTATAACTTTGTTTGTTGCTTCGTTCCTTAGTTAATTGGTTACTTATCTCACATGATACACCTTGTCATTAACTCAGATAAACAATGGACCATTCCCGCTTAATTGCTGGTATAGACGACGGGAACGATGTATCAAAGGTGCTGTTTGGTTTCAGGAAAATAAATACAAAGGAAGAAAGAAAAAAAAAGAAAGATATTCAAAAATAAAAGCAGAAAGAGCGAAAACGTGACCGGAAGAAAAACAGAAAGAAAGCGAGACAGAAAAACAGAAAGAAAGCGAGACAGAAAGACAAACATGAAAAAAGAGAAAAAGAAAAACAGGGAGAAAGAGAGACAGAAAGAAAAGCGAAATGAAACAGAGACAGAATGAAAAGCAGAAAGAAAGAACTAAAAACAGAAAGAAAAGACGGAGGAGGCAACATTCTCATGTGATTAGCGTCTACATAAAATAATTTTTTTTATTTTTTAATGTTTCCATTAGTAACCCCTTACTTCATAATAATAAGCCTTATTCCTATTCATAATTGTTACTCTAATATATTGTTAAAATTGCTGAACGCAAATATTTAAAGAAGACAATAATAGGATTTCCATGAATATTTTATCATGGAACTAGCAAGGAGTTTATTCCATCATTAACTTAAGAATTAACACTTACAGAAAATTCAAATGGGTAAGCCGTGAATTTACCCCTGATAATATTAGTTAACATTAATATGACGCCGAAAACGTTTCACCTGTTCTTCACATATAGAAGGCATACATTTTATTCCATATTTGTTGCGTCAATCATGTTTTCAAAAACTGTTTTTATGAAAGTTTACTATAATTTGCTATGTGCTCCAATTGTGATTTTCAAAATAGCAATATAGGATTTTCCAAGGCTTTTAAAATGATTAACATCCTTTTACTATTTACATCTGCTTCAATAATCCAGTGAGAAACGAAATACTTACACTAAACGAATAGATTGATACACAGAGATTGTAACACAAAAATTACTGAATGCAAACATTTGAATTCTTTAATTAGAAAAATAACATCTAATATGGTTTTGAATATAGTAATCTCTCTCATATATATATATATATATATATATATATATATATATATATATATATATTAAGTTACGAAGAACTTGGTAAACCGAATGGGCAATTCCAAGGAGGATGAAATCTTGAGAGCTCAATGTGAATACAGAGCTAATATTTATATATAATGTTATATATATATATATATATATATATATATATATATATATATATATATGGACTCACCCAGTGGCGTAACTAACGGGGGCGGACCGACCCGGTGCCAGCACAGGAGGGGGTGATACAATGTCACCCCCAACAAAACTTTCCAGCAAGCTAAGGTGCCAAAAATAGTCTGAAAACAGTGGTGGAGACACAGGGTTTCACAGGGGGGCATATGAACCCCCAGAAATAATTTATTACCCCCCAGTTTTGTACCCCCGTCAGAAATTTTCTAATAAATTCTCGGGTAATTTGTGAGTAGGAAAATAGCAATGTTTTCAGCTTTCATGTGTTTCAGTTGCTACAATCTTGGTTACTAACAAGAGACATTGTTGTAACATTTTATCGGATGATATAACTCTGCATCATTAATAACAACAAAGCGAAATACGAAGCCAAAAGTGCAATAATTTCATACTTGCCTGTGTATCAATTCGCTCAGATACAATTTTCCATTGAATGAGCGATATACTTTTGAATATATCTACTAGTGTTTGGACGATTAATCGGAATCGGATTCGAGAATCGGAAAAATCGGAACTTTTGGGGTTATCGGAAACGGTATCAGAATCGGAAAAATTTGTGCCTATTTTCCGATTCCAAAAACGATGCTTTTAAATTTTTAACTTAATTTTCCATTATTGGTACTAATGGTAAATATTTATTGTTTTTAAATTATCACTAAAACTAAAATCATAACATCAAAATACGATGTAAATTTATTTTACTTGTATAAAGAAAAACAAAAAAATAAACTTTACATAAATACTCTAGGTAACCTTTAAAAGAATGCAGTTGATTTACAATGTTCCGAAAAATGCTTAAAAATTAAATAGAACATTTTTGTCAAGAAAAATACTTTCAAACATCATTGATAATTAAATGGTACCCAGAAAATGATGCAACGGAAAATTGGACACCGGAAAATTAGCAACAGAAAATTACGTCAACAATGAGCCAGTCGAGACTGCCGTATCTGGCTGTGCTGTCCATTGAAAACGAGCTTACAAGATAAACAGATTTTGACGATGTCATTGACCAGTTTGCCACAATGAAAACAAGAAAACATTCATTCTAAGACCATAGAATCGAATGTCATTCTTTTGTGTATTACCGTGTTTTGTATTTAGTTGTTCTGAAAGTGAACAGTTGCATTTTAAAAATCTTTTGATTTGAACTGATTATTTTGTGGTATTGTATTTTGTCTTGGATCATACATGTAAACAGTAACGTACCGGTCAATAGAGTAAAGTAGAGGTACAGCTAACCATTCAGCATAGGGTGAATTGGGGTCATTGGGGTGACATTTGAGCGGACCGCCCCGGGTGACGTTGACAATAGCTACGCCACTGGACTCACCCGTCGTATTCGACATATGAAACTCAAGCGGTTCGGTTCCTAGGAAGTGACAGTCTAGACATCAGTACATATGATTTTATTATAGTGGTGAAGGCTTTTTGTAGAACCAACCAGACCTTTTGAAGGGACGAATATAGAGACCTCGTACACTATATCTGTCTGTGTGTGTGTCTGTGTGTGTGATGATCCGAAGTTCTTTAGTATTTTTGTTTTTATTTTCAAGTAGTTTCTAAATTATAAGTATTATTTAAATATGATTCCATCGTATCATATATTTTTTAAAATAATTGTATATATATATATATATATATATATATATATATATATATATATATATATATATATATATATATGTGTGTGTTACGTTTGAAATAGGATATATCAGGCAACGCTGGAGAAGTGATGGCTGGAAGAATAAAATTTATATTGCATCGAGTTTTAATTACTAGAAACTTTTTATTAATATATGGGAAATATTTAGAACGTTTTTTTTGTCATGCCCCACCCTCAAAACCTACACTCTTAATATGATCTGGCATACACAATTCCCCATCACAGTAATAACACCTGATGCCAAGTCTGTTAACATATTATCACTGATAGCAATTTCAATTCCATTGCCACTAATACAATATTCAAACTACCGGCTGAAACTTGTGACATTTCAAATCCTGTATATTTACATTTCTGCTACAACTGCACAAAAAGGAATTATTTTGGAGAAAGGTGCACGGAAATTCAGTTTTCAATTCAATATCTGTTAAAACTATAAAAAAAACAACAAAAAATTTCCGTTACTGCATACTTCAGTCAAACGTTCCATAACATTGATTACCTCAGATGCGTGCTTTTTGCGCATTCATTTAACTGTCAAAGAAAGATGCAAATCGGAGTTAAAATTCAATTTCAAAACAATACAAAATCATATATTAAATTGTTAGACAGGTATTTCGGTTTAATCAGAGAATATAGTTTCAAAATTTCCCGGAAAAGTGAGTCCACTTCTTTTTTATTACTCGTCTTGTTGAAAATGACACAGGCGTGTCCGAAAATTCCGACTTTAAAAACTTTCTTTTCGTCTTCAATTTAGTAAAAATACCAATACATAATAAATATCATCAACCGTGTTGCCAATATTGTTATCATTTTGTTCACTTTTTATTTCTCGAATCTAGTTAATCGGACTATTATCTGCATATTATTAAAAGCACACGTGGAAAATCTCTCGTTTTAATCAGGTATTGTGGACACAATTCAACTCCACGATAGAAGACGACAAACCGAACTTGAGCAAACTTGCACCAACAAGATCGGATATTCTATTCCTAAACCACATCTCAAAAAATATTGACATTGTCCCAAAAGGACTGAAATTGAAGAACAATTTCCAATACTTCATGAATCGTTCACGTAGATTCAAGGCTCTACAGATCTACAATTCTGTCTCTTTCCAATTATGAAACCTTGCTCTTAAAGCGGCCTATTTCAAACAGCTCACTCTTTCCAAAATATATAGCACATTCTCTATTCTGCACAGTTCACTATAAATCAACCATACGTCATTGATGTTTTATACCCTACAATTCATATACAATAAATATCTGGACTATTGCATAACGTGTAGCAAAAATAAATAAATAAATAAATCATTTAATTAAAAATCACCAATTTTTACAACTTCTCAACAACATACAGAAATCAATCCAGGCAAACAAACTACTTATACTTCATCATCAGCATATCAAATCCAGCACCCATAAAACACCCAACTGTTTCAATATATCCAAATACAAAACATCAACAGAAGAACAATCAGTACTATCCAAAAAACTCTCCTTTTTCCCATCCAAATATTTCGACCCTGTAGATTTGTGTTACAACTTGGAAAATTCTATTCGCAAATAGCAACAACCACCGACCTTCTAGAGCCAATGAGATAATACACATAAAACCACACAAACCCATACACTAGAGACCATCAAACGGACAAGCAACTGTCTCATCGCATTTTCATGGATTTCCCTGACGTCTTGGAATCTTGTTCCTTACAAGTGGGGTCTGCTTTTTTCGAGAGGTAAAAAACGTCAATATTTGGGGAACTTGGTGGTTATCAGATCTGTGGTATGCTGTCCTTCGCCAAAAACTGCTTCACAAGCTATGGCCACTGTTGGAACCACGTTCGTGTGATGAGACGACCACGATCCATACTTTCCTTCCAAGCACTATTATTTGTAACGGAGATTTTTTTTGTTCAAGGACAATCCTTTCCAATCGGCTTCAGTCTGCGGACTTTAGCTCCGTCACCATAACATCAGACCCAATACTTTTGATCAACCTTGTATTTTCCAATATCTCAGTAATTTTTCTTTCATAAGCGATGATCTATGTTTTGTTTATGTTATGTCGGTTTCATCGTCTCCACATTCCATATTCTCGTCTTCCCATGAAAATTCATGTTTATTATCTCAATTCTTTTTATTTATGAAATATATTTAGCATATTTAGTCCTCAATTTGCTAACGTGTCATTAATGATTGGCTGTTTGTTATTCTTACCCTTAAAGCATCTAGATTTTTTTTCAGTTGATTTATAAACTTTAACATTTACTATTTGGGAAAGACGATACTTACAAACTTATAACATTTCTATTGTTTACCCTATCCCACCAATAACATTTCCTTTAATTCCTTTTACATATCAACTCTAGAAAACGAAATTAAGCAAATCACACTATGCACACACAGTCTGACCTTATTATGGTGACGCCATATCTATCTGAACTAACACCAAAGACGAAGTAATAGATCGGAAAACAACCGTCGAAAATAATTGTCTTTAATTTCGCATGTGAAGAGTTCATTAATACATATATATATATATATATTTATTTGAACAGAGGGCATCTTGAGGCGGTGTAATGGTTAGTAAGCTTGTCTCACTAGAACAATTACGACTGAACAGTGAGTTCGATCCTTGCTTGTTGCCTCATACTTTCGGTCTAGTGCAACATCGAAGCTACGCAAGAAACATTACTATATTTAGATGTACTGATTCAAATGTTGCATATTTTAGAAGATCTGTTAAGAAAATACAACCAAATGAAACCCTTGCCGACATAATTACAACAGTAAATGCCTGCAGAGATGCAA